TGACAATGAATGATTACAGACTCAATTTGAACGATCAGTGGATCCCTGGGTAATATGGTGATAAGTGAATAAATGTATTAGTGAAATGTGCTGTAAGATTAATTTTCTTCAATATTTTCTATAGAATTTCAAAATGGTGAGTATTTGACAGACTTTGTAGACATACACTCAAGTTTTCAATGGTGTACAATTATAGATAAACTGGATCCATAGAAATATTAACAAATGTAAGATTTATTCGTGGTGGAAGTTCCCAGATGAAGACTTAAAAGTATTATTAATCCTGTAAATAAAATGTAAATTATATTATTTCAACTTGGGCATACATATTTATGGGTGGAATTTAAAAACGCCAGATGATCGGAACCTCTGCTGATCTCTCGGTTGAACTAGATCGAACAGATCGATGGGGAAATAACTGGCTTTTAACTTTCAATACCTCAAAAATGAAGCAATTATCATTTCGCCGTTATTAATCAATGCCTGAGTTTTCTGTAGACATGATGAATGGCTCAATTCTCAATGAAGCTCCATGGATCTTAGATGTTCCCTTGGTAAAGATTTTGGAAGAATGGTCAGTTCATTCTGCCTCTCCAGGAAGTACCAGACTCCTCCCGCCATGCTTTATCTTTAAAAGTGCTAGATTAGACTAGAAACAGATTATTGATGCTATATCTGGCTTGAAACTGCACAATCCCTACTTCTCTGCCTTAATTCTTTTTTTTTAAATTGAATTTACACCAAGCAAGGCAGTAAAGCCACTAAGACAGAATGGTTTACCGGGTATAAAAGAATTAGTAAAAAAGAAAAATTATCAAGGAGAGAAAACAATAGAAGAGTAATGAGGAAGTCAGTAGATGACGATTGACATTGCATTTAAATTTTTGAAGATCAAAGTTGACCGGAAAGCATAGAAGAGAAAGAAAGTGCGAGAAAAGAAACTCTTAGCATAGAACTTACGGTTGGATCTCGCAGCCAATTCAACTGAATTCAAAATTTTATACCTGCCCCTACTCTGTCGTTATTTCCATGACCAATGTTCAGATGAGCGCTCCATTCTTTAGTTCGATCAGTTCAAATCTTTACAGCTAGGACATGTCATGCTAGTTTCACAGAATCAAATCATCCTCATTTCCGTCATATTCCATCTGTAAGGAAGAAGTTCCATGCCGACATCTTGTTCCCATCATCATTAATTTCCCTCCCCCTCTTTAATTAAACACATTTTATTCATCATTTCCCTTTTAATAGTAATCCGCTACCTTGAGTGGGTCCTGATCATTGAAGATTAGGATTAAAAACCTTCCTCACCAAAAACATGTCTATTCGGACACCATGCACATGAAAAGAATTCTCTTTGGAAAATACACGTTGATTCTGGTTTCTCTTCCATCCGTCATTGAGGCTCAGTAATTAGGCGACGAAATCTGCGACAACAAAATGCTTTTCTCTCTGAATTTCTACGATGCCGACTTATCATTATTGGCATCTTTTTCTTGTTATAATCCCGACATTTTGTAACAATATCCTTGTGGATAAATCGTTGCTTCATGAATCTGTTGTCATAGAAAATGTGAGGTCAATCGTTGGATTAAATATTGATGGCTTAGACTCAGTGGAAACATCGCAAGAAATAATTGATTAGCATTCAATCAGAAAAGGAGAAAATATCCCGAGACATAGACAACAGATTAAGAAGAAAATAAATAAAGTGATTTTATGAAATTCCTTCCTGTTCAGGTTTATCGTGAGGACCTCCTGGCTGACTCCATAAATGATTGCAGTCAAGGAAGAGAATTAAGACAATTTTTGGATGAGTGAAACATATTTTTTATTATTCCCTGGCGTTTTGCTGGTCATTGGTGAGTTTCAATGTTTATTCTTTTCAATCCAGCAATTTTGAAGAAATCTTTACGAAAAGCCCAAACAAATCCTTTCAGGCGTCTTGGTACCATATTTGAAGAACCTTTTTTTATTTCATTTTAGCAGGTAACGACACGAAAGAAAAAAAAAGACGAACAAAACATGTCGGGATACAAAATGCGAATCTTTCCATTTCGTTGAGATGAGGTCACGTGATGTCCTAAATATATTTTTATTTTCAGTAATTTTATTTAATTATGATTTTATTTAATTATTTTATTTATTACATTGTCTGTATTATTATTGTTATTATTATTTACTTACTTACTTACTGAAGTCTCCGATTTGTTAATTAATTCTTACTTGCTCTCTCAGGATATACATAACCCCCTGGAAATCCATACAGATTACCAATTAACTATAGCATTATATATATATATATATATATATATATATATATATATATATATATATATATATATATATATATATATGTATAAATTCAAGCGGAAGCAAATGTCTTCTCCCTGCAAATTATCGAATCTCCCAAACTGGGTAGTTTCCATTCTTCGTGTTCAATCTCCTCGACATAATACCAGCCGATTTGATGCAGTTTAATATTTTGTTTATAAAATGCGTACAACCAAAATGGATTTTTTTTTCTAAAATGAAAGCAAAAAATCGCTTTTAAAATTTTGCCACAAATCAGGCAAAAGATTTCATTAAAGTTTTAGGAAATATTTTTTTGAATTATGTTTCATATCATTTCTTGCATAAATTTAATAAAACATGTCATTTTCTTTCAGATTGGACAATGGTTAATTTATTTTTGGTATGGATGTACAAAAAGGACATAATTCTTATATCACGCATAGACTGACTATTATTCAAAATCGGAAGGGTATTATTCAATTCCCGTCAATCCCGTTCAGTCAGTTTTTGTCTAATAAATTCAATTTTCCCATCCATAATTAAAGTTGTTTTGTTTATTTGCGTGTCTTTGTTTTCTTGCATTTATTTACAGATTCTTCTCTACAATAAAAACCAATTCTGACTTCAGTCATTAAACAGAAATTCTACTTTGAAGTTTTCATTATTTTAAAAGAATTCATTCTTTGATTATTTTCCTGCATAATTTTTCCGACTCAACACCAAGAAAAATTTCACAATTGCAACGAAATTAATTCATTTGCAGAAAATAATATTTTATATTTTCATTTTTCTAAAATTTACATTTCGAATAAATTCTTTTCTTTTCACGTTAATTGAACACAAATTACATTTACGTTATATTTTTCTTTAGGGAGCGACTTACTGCCTTCAAATTTATTCATTATCCTAATTTTAATAAAAGTGTATGGAATGAAAAAAAAATGATATTTTCAAACTATTCGTTAAAGAAAATTTACTTTAAAAAATAATAAGAAACTATTATGTCACTGCTGGTCTACCGTATTTCTTTAGGTTTTATTTTTAATTTTACGCGCGCCTTTTTGGGGTGTAATTGGAATTAGTTTAATTTGTACCCTTTGACCCCGACAGGCAGCCGTGCGTAAATAAAACGTTATTTTCATTCTATTTTAAGGAAAAGTAAAGATTAGATTAAGAAAATCCAATTAATTAATCCTTAAATTTACTAACAAACTTAGAAAAACATCCAAACTTGTAAAAATGTCTAAAAAGTTTATATACGGAAATTAATTTTTCCTTTCATTCGGATTAACTTTTTAGGCGATTATCTTTGAAATGGAAGAAAAAATTAAGTTCAAAGAAGACATTTAAAGTATTTAAAATGCATTTTTCGTTTTTTTATATTTAGAAATTCTAATATTATAATTTTAAAAATTTACTTTTTTGGGGTTATTTACAAAGAAATTTTCCCGGTTTCAATTCCTTCTTTCGACTTTTTCTCTCAAATACCAAAAGAAATTGATTCTGTTTTGTATCCAAAATAACAAGAAAAAAGCAAACAATTTTGGGCAAATTTTTCAACATTTATCGGAATGAAAACAAAAATATCAATAAATAATCAAGTGTTCGATTAATAATCGATTTATTAACGAATTTCCGATAATTTTCTTAATAGATTTGAATAGAATTAGAAAAACAAAAGGCGTTAAACCCCCAAATAAAGAATCAATTCAAGGGGAATAAAAAAAAGAATTAGAGGATTGGATTCTTTAGAATTAAGTTTCCAATTTGTTGTTTTCCTTCTGATATCGTAAAAGAGAGAGAGAGAGAGGGAGAGAGTGAATAAAGAAAAGATAAAAACAATGAAGGGGGAGAAAAGAGAAGCTGACATTATGGGAGGGGGAAGAGCCCGTGAAAAAGAAAGTATTGTATCATTAAATTTCTTTCTAATTGTTAAAGATGATGATGACGACGATGATGATGATGCTGCTACCAAGACGATATTTTTTCTCTTCATTTTTTTTTTCTACTACAACAATAATAACAACAACGACGATGATGTTATGAGTACTTCTTTTTTTTTTTTCTCTCTGTTGCTCTTCTCCCCTTCGGGATATAATCTCCCGTTCGGAAAAGAACGGCTGGTCCCTTTAATTCCATCCTAACCTTTTATTCCGAACCTAAGAGTAAGCGGTTGTGGCTCTCCACAGATTCCTTTTTCTTTCATGCAATATCTGTGAAATGTCATTTAATCTTTAGAGTATGTAGTGGATTCCCAAAGCCTTTTCCCTTGACTTGTTGCCATTCAAGGCTAGACAGGTCAGTCTACCCTACTATGTAATTCTTTCTACCTGTCCTGATGATGACTTATGAAAGTTGAAACACACACACACACTATATATATATATAGTTTATTGCAACTGATCAAAACTGGCAAAAATGAAAATCTTCCGTCGTTTGTGTTCAACCACCTCGCTATAATACCAGCCAATTGGATTCATTTTAATATTTAATAGAAAGAAAATGCATTAAGAAAACAGTAAATATGGCTACAACTCAAATCTATTTTTATATATTTCCTTATTAAATTTCATTTCTCTGCAAGATATAATGGGTTTATGGCTCTCCACAGCCTCCTCTCATTTGATTGACTTAAAGATTTCTCTTGGATCACTTGGCTTTCATTTTCCTTTTGTTTGCGGCAGAATTGGATGACTTTGAAAAACATAAGCAAATATAGAGAGAGGGGAAAAGTCGGGGCGGAGGAGAGGGTAGAGAAAAGAGAGAAAAAGAGTTTAAGGAAGAGGGAGGGATGAAATTTAGAAGCGGGAGGAGGAGTGAATCTGTGAAAAAGAAAGGATTTTATCACTGATATTATTTCATCTGATTTTTTCACCCCCCTCCTCCGGACGTCATCTTCCGTCCGGTAAAGACGGGCCACACCCTTTCCTATCGATCTACTCTTCCAGTTGGGACCCATGAAATGTCCTTTTTAAAAAGAATCTTTCCTTACCCTGGGGCATCAATATGACCCCCCACCCAACCCCGAAGAAAGAAAATATTTTTAATTATTTCACTCACCTCATATTGTTATCAGACGAAAAAAAAGGAAAAATTTCAGAAATTTCTTCGGTAAGAAAAAATTAAATAAATAAATAAAAAATCGATCAATTTTAATCGATTTTTTTTTAATATTTAATTCCAATTGAAAATTCAATCAAATTCAATTCCACATTTTTTGTCAACTTTTGATGGTCGGAGAAAGAAAAAAAAAAAAATGAAAACAAATGAAAAAATCTTGTAAAATTCATTGTTTTTTTTTCATAGAATTATTAAACATTTTTTTAAAAATTTATTTACCTCGACTCATATTACGAAAAATAAACATTTTTCTGTCTTATTTACCTGAACTCATATTGGGAAATCATTAAAAATATTTACAAAAATTTAGAAACGAAAATTTATTCAAATCAAAAAGAATAAAAACAAAAAAACAATTTTATTTAAAATTAATTTTATTTAAAATTAATTTTATTTTTTAAATTAATTTTCAAAATTTTCCATGAAATAAAAAAAAAAAAAAAATTTTAATTAAAATAAATTTTATTTGTAAAATTCACGAAAAACTTAACGGTTTTTTTTTGTTTTTTTTAATAAACTTTGAAAATTTTAAATAAATTTTCTCCGTCGTTTTGAAAAAAAACAAACAATTTTTTTCCAGAAACAAAAATCTTCGGACAATTTTCAGATTTTTTCGGAAATTTGTACAGAATTTTTTCTGGTAAAACAGAAAAAATTCCTTCGTCGTTGCAAAAATAAAAAAAACCAAATTCGTCGGAACAAAAATCGAAAATTTCTTTTTCAGTTTTGATGATTTGAAGAATTTGGCCTTTTTGATTCCAAATGAAGAATTCCGACTTTCCTTGTCTTGTCCCCCACAAATTCCCGGTCGTCGGATCGGAACGAAGGAGGGGGAAAGAAAGAAAACCCGACCCCAGCGATTTTTCAAGTTGGATTTTTTTCATTTCATTTCCTTCTTTAGAAAAACAAAAAATTTCTTCAAATTTCGATTCACAAACGAAAATTTTTTCGTTCGTTTGACACAAAGAAAAAAATTGATTTTCTTTTGTTTGATTCTTTTTTCTTTTTCTAAAAATGGCGGATATTTTCTTCGCGCCAAAAACAAAAGCAATCCACACACAAACCCCGTCTCCCACCCCAACCCAAACCCAGACTCCCACCCCCATCCACAAACAACGAAATTGTCTTGAGAGAAACAACAAATGTCCCAGGGTAAGAATCCTTCGTCTCCCAAGAGACATCGGCCGAGGAATTCCCCAGTCTCGCCGAATTCCTTGATCGAACCGTCGTCCCCATCGACAACAAACACGTGACCGTCTTTGTCGCTGGCGGCAATCGATTCAATCCACTGCAGGTTCGAATCCCGAAGACGGAATTCGCTTTCAAGTTCCAATTCCCTTGGGGGCCATGTCTTAAAGCCGACGATTTCTTCTTGAAGTTGGTCCAAGGATCGTTGGCACCATTCTGGAAAGGTCATAACAAAATGACCTTCCTCAACAGGAGGGAAAGATTCGTGGAGCCGCCCTGAAAGCTCCGCTCCCAGAGACCCGACACCAGAAACAACTTCGTCGTCGTCGCTTAATGAAAGTCTTTCTTTCTCTTTGAGGGATTGGCGCCATTTCCTTTCTTTTTCGCTCGTCTTTTCTCTCATTTGGCCGCACAATTCTTCGGCCTTCATCCTTGTCTCTTTCCGAAATTCATCGAATTCCTGCCTGACTTTGGTGCAATTCTCTTCGCAATCGATTGATAATTGTTCAATCGATTTCTTTGTCTCTTCAATCCCTTGACGGAGCCGATTTATGAATTCTTCGACATCTTCCTGCAAATCGACGAGGTGCTTTCTCGATTCTTTTATGTCATTCCTCAAAGACGAAGCCATTTTTGGATTTCGTTCAAGAAAAATGAAATCTGAAGATACGAAAGAAAAAAAATCTATTTTTAGAAAATAAAAAAAAAGGTCAAAGTTCAAAATCATAAAAAGTTGATTTTTAAAAACGAAAATAAAATGAAACGAAATTTTTAGATTTTACAAGAAAAACAAAAAAAATTCCTGAAAATTTTTTAGTTTTCTTCTAAAATCACAAATAAAGGCGGGGGGAGGGGGGTTAAGAGAAAAGAGAATGAAATATGAGAGAGTGGGGAACGGGGGAATAGAGAGAGTGAGAGAGAGAAAATAAAATATATAGAGAGAGGGAGAGAAGGAAATATAGAGTGTGTCAGAGAGTGAGAGAAATCGAAAGAAACAAAGGAGAGAGTGGTTATCGATGCAAAAGAGAGAGAGAGAGAGAGAGAGAGAGAGAAGACCAATACGAGAAAAGAAAGGGTAAAAGTAAGAGAGAGAGAAAAGTTCCAATTTGTTGTCTTCACAATCACTTTTAACATTCAGATGTTAATTAAATTGCTTCACTCTTTCTTTCACTTGACACGATTTAAGAAATTTCAAAATGGCGGATTTTTATCGTCTGCTTCCGAAACGATTCAGTTTTTTTTTATGACAAAATTGAATCCATTTTAAATAAACTGATCCACTCATTAAAATATATTTTTTTTTTAAATGGGGTCATTTTTGGGGGCCTGTGAAATATTTTTGTAGATTAACATTTATTAGACTTTCAAAGCCATGACGATTAACAGGAACAAAAATGTTTTTTTTTTTTTTTACATAAAGGGGGTCCTGTTTATAATATCGTTAAAATGTAAAATCAATCCCTGATTTTTCTAAAAAAGTTTAATTTTTTATAACAAACTTCGTTTAAAGAAGAAAAAAAATAAACAAGTTTTGTATGAAAAAAAAAGTCACATAAATTAAATTAAAGATAAAAAAAAATATTCCCTTCCAAAAAAAAGAAGCGAAAAATCTGTTTGTAAATAAGAATTTAAGTCCAATAATTCTTCCAAAGTCAGGGATCGTTTTTACACAATATTGATATTATGAACAAGACCCTCACTTTATAAATCGGAAAAATAATGAATCATTTTTCGATTCTGAAAAATGTCGTCGTCGTTTGAAGAAAATCCAATGAAATTTAATCTACAAAAAATAATTGCCTCCCCACGCCAAAAATGTTCACCATTTTTATAAAAATGGACCAATATATTTAAGTAGTGCCAAGAAGTGAATAAAGTTTTCGGAAATATTAAAAATTGTCTACAATCGAAATAAAGAAAGAGAAAGAAAGCAAAAGAAAACAAATTCGATGATTAAAAAAAGGAAAGAAATAAGGCAGACGACATAAATAAACAGAAATAAATGTCATCTTTTATCTTTCCGATAGCATTAGAAAGATTTTATCCGAAATATTAACTAAAAACCAATTTATTTTACCACAGAATTCGAATCAAACATTTTTTTTAAATTATACGGAGAGAGAAAATAAAAGAAAATAAGAAAAAGTTTATCTCATGATTAAAAAAAAAAGGTAGGAAAAGAGAAAATAAAATAAAAACAGAAATTTTCGTTGTTTTGATGAAAACATTCGTGAAATTTCGATTATTTGAAAATCGATCTAAAAATTCTGACTTACATTTGATTTCGTTTCGATTTCACTTCAATTAAGTGAGTTTTTCTTGAAATTTGGGAAAGCAAAAAAAAAAAATGACGTCGTCTTCTTGGTGTTGCGTCTCGTCAAGTGAATTGAGCGGGATGGCGATGTGACGTCAT